CATTAGTTATATTGGCAGGTACTTAAACAATTTTTCCTTTATCATTTATTTATTATACAATAATTTTAAGTTTTTCATGAAAATTATATGGTTTTAAATTTGAGTATCAGTGTACTATTGTTAGTTGTCACTTGAACAAAGAGGTTCTTAAAGTGAACGAGGTCGAAAAATGGACGCTTTCAATTTTAATTGTATGAAATCCTACCCTCGATCTCGTTGATGAGAAGCATCACTTTTGAAAAGCAGCCATTAAAAATCATGTATGAACATATTTTTAACCCAAAAAAAAAAAAACAAAAGGAAGATTTGCTCTCATGTCTAAACCCCATAAAAATAATAACATAAACATAAAGTACACATTATGATGATCTACCTTTATGTCACAAATCATCACAAAATAAAGATGCCTAAGCTAACAACTTTAGGATCATCCCAATCACAGATTGATTATTTCAAGGAAATTGAACAGACACGATTCCCTTACCTGCAATAACAAATCCAAAAACGAGATGCAGCAAAAATAAAATATTAAATGAGAAAATCAAATTGGTTTTTACGTGTGCAAATCAAATCAAACCAAAAGTATTATATTTAGACGATGTTGTACTCACCATAAAGGAAAAAAGCTTTTGACGGAATTTAGCTCCCTTGCGACATCAATTACACTCATCCTTTCATGAGGTGATTCTTTTGAACATGGAAGCCCAATCATAAACAAACAATGCAAGCATTTCTCAACATTACTTGGGATTTGCATCGTGTTCTCTGATATGTCTCCTGATGCTACCATTGCTTCTTCTAATTCTTGTGGAAAAATAGTTGGGCTTACAACTTCCAAAAGCTTGTTTGGAAATGCATTTTTCACATATGTTTGAAGATTGTGGCCATCTTTAAACATGTCTCCAGTGGGTCTTCTTTTAGTCAAACGAGAATGCCAAAGCTATATATGTCACCTTTTGTTGATACCTCAGAACGTATTCCATATTCTGAAACATTGTAACCATATCAATCCTCTTAATTATATATATGATCATTGGGATGAAAATATAAAAAAAAAAATTGAATTAGAAAACATAATGGATTGCATGACCTTGTAGTAAAAAAGTTTCATTAAATGATACCTAGAGGAACATAGCCAATAGTACCCTTTATTCCAATTGTGCTGCTTTGCTCATTAGAGATGGTTTCAACAATTGATAGCAGTCTTGCCAATCCAAAATCACCCAAATGAGCAAATGTTGCCAATGCCATCAAGAAGAACATTGTTGGGCTTCAAATCACAATGAATTAGAGGTTGCCCATATTCATTATGAAGAGAGTTTAATGCAGACACAATGTCAATAAGAATATCTAGTATTTGATCAAGGAGCAAAAGTCTTAGATGAACTAGATTCTCTATTCTAGGATGCAACCAATTTTCCAAGCTTCCATTCATTATATACTTATACACTAGAGCCTTAAATTCATGGCCATTGTAATCTATGCTAGAGCAGCATGTTATAACTTTTACTAGATTCCTATGCTTCACATTTCTAAGTGCATTACATTCAGATACAAAACTCTTGTGAGCTCCCTTTTTTTGAAAGTTGATGACCTATATCACAACAACGTCATTAGATTCAAAACTTCCCTTGTATACAGAGCCAGAGCTCCCTGACCCTATCAAGTTGTTGATAGAGAATCCATCTGTGGCATTATGCAAACTTTGATATGATACTTTGGAAATCATGTCAATTGTTGCTGAACTTGAAGAAGATTTCTTGCTTCTTTTTTTCCCATGATAAATAGCAACAACAGATGTGATAACCTCTCAAAATTCCTACTGAATTAAGCTGATTTAACGCTCTTTTATGAGGTTTGAAAGTCACTTTTGCAGGAAACAAAGCCTGAGGAGAGTAAAGGATGGAGAGAAGCTGAAAAGAAGTCAGCCGCCACGGCCTCTGGGAGAAAACGCTGCGACAGATCAAACAACAAAGAATGAGTGCGTCTCTGTAAAAGGCGCCGCGGCGCCTTATTGAATTCGCCGCGGCATCCAAGCTATCTCAGAGCAAGCCTGTTCGGTGTAATCCGCCGCGACAGATTACCACATGCATCGCGGCGCCGGAGCCTCGAAGGAATGACATTCTGTAATAGGCGCCGCGGTGCCTGGCCCCTCGTAGCTGTGCGTTTTACTTGGTAACTTAAAAAATTAGGGCATATAGAGGGGGATGCTCGGTTTTTCAGAGAGACTTCGACTTTGGAGCATTTTTGGAGGCTAGCTCTGCTAGGGTTTGGAGTTTTGGAGGCTTGGAACCTTTGGGCTTGAAGTTAAAAGAGATTCGATGCTTGCAACTTGAATTTTCTTTTTTCTTCTTCTTCCCTTCTTGTTTTTGCTATGACTATTAGCTACTCTTGTAGTTGTGGTTCTTTACTCGACATGTATAGCTAAATCCGTTTTTCTAGGGTTATTTTGATCTATTGTATGGATTGAGACTTGATTTTACTATCTCTTGAGTGTTAATGATAATATTCAGTTGTTTTTACTTTGAGCTTAATGCTTCCTTTTGTCTGGCCATCATTTGGATTGATTGATTGATTAGTCTAACTTCAGAAAGTTAAACTAATTCGTGAACTTTGGTAAAAACATGCTAGACCAGAAATTTAATTGAGTAAATAGATGGTTTGTCAATAGAACAGAGATGTATCTGTTGACCTAGCATAGACTAAATGGGTTTTGGTTTTTAAAGTGCAATCTTTTCAAACAAGTGCAAGAGATTATATTGCTATGTTTTAATCGTGATTGCAAACATTTGGTTTTGACTTGAGAAAGCTGAATCAATTCTGCAGACCCAGGCTAACTGAACTTATTGTAAAACACTACTTAAGAAGTAATTAATCCAGTTTCATGAAGTACTTTAGTGAAAAATAACCCTAGTCTCTTAATTGTTTCAAGGTCGAGTTGATTTTTACTGCTTTTAAACCATTGTTTTCCTAATTCCATTTCAAAATCTTTTACAACAATTGTTTCACTTAACCTAATCAAGTACACAATTATGATTTTTAACTCATCTAGCCTTAGTCTCTGAGGGAACGATACTTTTTATATTACTTGCGACCCGTCCACTTGAGGTCAAGTTATTTGGTGAACAAGTTTTTGGCACCATTGCCGAGGACTAATGGCTAGAGTGCTTGAAGTTGATTGTCTTTATTGTGTGATTGGTTACGCTTAAGTTTCAGTTAGCATTTGTAGTGGTTATAGGTAGTAGTAGTAGTATTTATTTTGTTCATTTCTCTTGATAAGTTTGATACTTTTGTTTTTGATTTGAATGTGCAGGTAACCCCTGACGCATGCAAGGAAGACTGGAAGTTATTTTGGAAGAAGTTACTGAAGAAGCATCCAGGTCGGGAGAAACTGAAAACACACCGGAGATTCAACAACAACCTCAGTTACTTCCACCACCACCACCACCACCACCTGAATCAGAATCAGAAGAAAACATGGCAGAGGAAGATGAGAACGACGTGTACACTCTGGATGACTATTTGGATAAAGAAGGGCAGACTTTTCATTCAAGTATCCGGCTACCAGACATTCAAGCCAAGAATTTTGAAATCAAGCCCGTTATGATCCAACTACTGGGGATGATGGGTACTTTTGAAGGAAATTTTAATGATGATCCGAATGAGCATTTGACCAAGTTTATAGAGGTTTGTGAGAACTTCAAACAAAATGGAGTTACCAAAGATGCACTGCGATTGAGATTGTTCCCCATGTCGTTATCTCACAAGGCGAAAACGTGGTTGAATTCTTTACCAGAACACTCCATTAAGACTTGGGATGATCTTGTATCTAAGTTCAAGGCCAGATTTATTCCAAGGGGCCAAACGAGCTACATTAAGGGGTGAATTGCTTTCTTTCGAGCAGCATCGGATGAGTTATTTACGGGGCTTGGGAAAGATTCAAGGATATGTGGAGAAATTGTCCAAATCATGAGCAAAGAAATATGTTCTAATGGAAGCCTTCTGGAATGGGTTGAATGATCAGACAGTGACAATGCTGAATACCGCTTCAAAGGAGGAATCGGAAAGATGAAGGTAAATGAGCTATATGAACTGTATGAAGAGGTGGCATCTAGCACTATGCAACAGTATAACAAGAGAAGGCAAAGTTCTGGGAGATATAAGGAGCCTAGTTCTTCATCATCAAGGGATATTGCATCGCAACTTGAAGCAATATCTAAGAGATTTGACAATCTGGAATTGCAGATTAAGAAAGGAAATGCTGCAGGAGTTCATGCACTTCAGGCTCCGGGATACACTTGTGACCATTGTAATGAGGAACATCATTCTGATCAATGCCCATACACCTTGGAGACAGTCAATTATATGAATAATGCACAGCGAAGACCACAAGGAAGCCCTTACTCTCAAACTTACAATCCAAATTTGAGAAATCACCCAAATTTCTCTTGGCGAAATGGGCCAAGTTTGAATCCACCACAAATATTACCATCTGGTGCTAAACAAATGGGGCCTCCTGGTTTTCATGGTCAACCACAGCAACATCAATTGCAACAGCAGCATCCTCAAAAGGAAGAATCCAAAATTGAGAAGATGTTTGCTCAACTATTAGCAAATCAAGAATCTGCAAGGGCTGAGAATAAGGCAACATTTTCTCTCCATGAAACTGCCATCAAGAATCTCGAGGTTCAAATGGGTCAACTGGCTTCACAAATGAATGTACTCACAAGAAGCAGCTTACCAAGTGATACCATTCCCAATCCAAAAAGGGATGGTAATGAAGAGTGCAAAGCGATCAGTTTGAGAAGTGGAAAGCAACTACCTGACATTCAGAGGCCTAGTAAGACCGGCAAGGACATCACTAACAGTATGGTGACTGACCTTGATACAAATGAGCTTTCAGAAGAAGGTGGTATAGTAGAAGAGGAAGAAACCAAGAAAAGAAACAAACAGAAGAAAATCTCAATGATGTGGTTCGAGGAAAGAATGTAGAGGGTGAAATGGTTGATGATAAAAAGAGGAAGACAACTCCCCCTCCTGCTACACAGATGCCGCCACTTCCCTTTCCTCAAAGGTTCAGGAAGAAAGATGAAGATGTCCAGTTCAAGAAATTTGTGGACATGTTTAAGCAATTACACATCAACATCCCGTTTGCTGAAGCATTAGAGCAGATGCCTAAGTATGCTAAGTTTCTTAAGGATGTTCTCTCCAAGAAGAAGAGATTTGGTGAATTTGAAAGTAGCCCTTACTGAAGATTGTAGTGCCATCTTGCAGCGAAAACTCCCACCCAAATTGAGAGATCCAGGCAGTTTTTATATTCCATGCAACATAGGCAAACACTTCAATGGAAAAGCCCTATGCGATTTGGGAGCAAGTGTTAACTTGATGCCTCTAGCTGTATTCAATCGATTAAATTTGGGTGAAGCAAGGCCAACAACTGTTACATTGCTCTTTGCTGACAGAAGTATCTCATATCCAAAAGGGATTGTAGAAGATGTCTTGGTGAAGGTAGATAAATTCATATTCCCAGCTGATTTCATTGTGTTAGACTGTGAGGTAGATTGGAATATCCCCATTATTTGGGACGGCCATTCTTAGCTACTGCAAGAACCCTCATTGACGTAGAAAAGGGTGAGATCACCATGCGAGTAAATGATGAGAAGGTGATATTCAACATGAATCAAGCCTTGAAGTTTCCAGATGATTCTGCTCACTGTAATTGTATCGATGTGATTGATTCTACAGTGCAAGAGGAGTTGATTAACTCTTTGACCAAAGACCCATTAGAAGCATTGTTGATTGGAGAAACAAGTAGTATTGATGGCAAGGTTGAAGCTTATGCAGAAATGATGAGTATTGAAGCATTTCCGTATCGAAAAGCTAAGACTTTTGAGCCTCTGGATGTGACTAGTGCTTTAAGCTCTCCTCTAAAGCCTTCTGTGGATGAACCGCCGGTGTTGGAGTTGAAGACTTTACCATCACATCTCAAGTATGCCTACTTGGGTAATTCTACTACATTACCTGTGATTGTTTCTTCTCAGTTGTCCACGTTGCAAGAAGAGAAACTGTTAAGGGTCTTGAGACACCACAAGAAAGCTATTGGGTGGTCCATAGCTGACATCAAAGGGATCAGCCCTTCTATTTGTATGCACAAGATTTTATTAGAGGATGGTCACAAACCTTCCATTGAGCATCAAAGGAGATTAAACCCGGTTATGAAAGAAGTAGTCAAGAAAGAGATCCTGAAATGGCTTTCTGCTGGCATAGTCTACCCTATTTCTGATAGTTCATGGGTGAGCCCAGTTCAATGCGTCCCTAAAAAAGGCGGTATAACTGTAGTGGCTAACACCCGAAATGAGCTAGTTCCAACTCGTACTGTGACTGGGTGGAGAATTTGCATGGATTATCGAAAGTTAAATACAGCAACCAGAAAAGACCATTTCCCGCTGCCATTTATTGATCAGATGTTGGATAAACTTGCTGGGCAAGAATTCTTTTGTTTCTTGGATGGGTATTCAGGATACAACCAAATTGTAATAGCCCCAGAAGATCAAGAGAAAACAACCTTTACTTGTCCATATGGCACGTTTGCTTTCAAAAGAATGCCATTTGGTCTTTGCAATGCTCCAGCAACATTCCAAAGATGCATGATGGCCATCTTTGCTGACATGATTGAGAAAACAATTGAAGTGTTCATGGATGACTTCTCTGTTTTTGGAGATTCTTTTGATTGTTGCTTAGATAATTTGGCGGCTGTTCTGCAACGATGTGAAGAAACTAATTTGGTTCTGAATTGGGAAAAATGTCACTTCATGGTGCAAGAGGGCATTGTCCTTGGTCATCGAGTATCCAAACAAGGCCTAGAAGTTGACAAGGCAAAGGTATCTGTTATTGAGCAATTGCCTCCACCAACAAGTGTTAAGGGTATTAGAAGTTTCTTGGGTCACGCGGGATTCTACCGTCGTTTCATTAAAGATTTCTCTAAAATCACTAAGCCTTTGTGCAATTTGTTGGAGAAAGATAGGGAGTTCAAGTTTGATGACGCTTGTATGAACTCTTTTGAGAATTAAAGAAGAAGCTCACCTCAGCACCAATTTTAGTGGCACCTAATTGGGAGCTACCCTTCATCATTATGGCAGATGCTAGTGATTTTGCCGTTGGAGCAGTTCTAGGACAAAAAGTAGAAAAGGTCTTCCATCCCATCTACTATGCTAGTAAAACCTTGGATGATGCCCAACTTAACTACACTACTACAGAGAAAGAATTGCTTGCAGTGGTGTTTGCTTGTGAGAAATTCCGGTCTTATATTGTGGGCACCAAAGTGACTATCTATACAGACCACTCTGCCCTAAAGTACTGTTTACCAAGAAAGATTCCAAAGCACGCCTGATTCGATGGGTCCTTTTGCTTCAAGAATTTGACTTGGAAATTGTTGATAGGAAAGGCACTGAGAACCAAGTGGCAGATCATCTATCTCGATTAAGTAGTGAAGCTAAACATGATCATTGTCAAGAGATCAATGCAGCTTTTCCCGATGAATGCTTGTTCTTTGTGGATAACTCAACTACTCCATGGTATGCAGATCTGGTTAATTATCTGGTTTGTGGAACTCTGCCACTAGACCTTAACTCCCATCAAAAGAGGAAATTTCTTCACGATGCAAAGATGTACTTCTGGGAAGAACCTTACTTGTTCAAAAGATGTGCCGATCAGATGATAAGAAGATGTGTTCCGGAAGTTGAGCAGCAAGATATTCTAGAGTGTTGCCACTCTTCAGCTTATGGTGGGCACTTTAGAGGAGAGAAAACTGCTGCCAAAGTCCTTCAAAGTGGTTTTTATTGGCCTTCACTATTTAAAGATGCATATGCCTTTGTGATCCGATGTGATCGGTGTCAACGAGTGGGAAACATATCAAGAAGGAATGAAATGCCTCTGAATAATATTCTGGAAGTTGAACTCTTTGATGTATGGGGAATTGACTTCATGGGCCCGTTTCCAAAGTCTCTCAATCAAGAGTACATTCTGGTTGCTGTGGACTATGTCTCGAAATGGGTTGAAGCTACTGCATGTGTATCCAGTGATGCTAAAACGGTGATCAAATTCTTAAAGAAAAACATCTTCACGAGATTTGGAGCACCTCGGGCTATCATTAGTGGGGGTTCTCACTTTTGCAATCACCAATTTCAAGCTCTGATGAAGAAATATGGTGTAAAGCACAGGTAACTTTGGCTTATCATCCTCAGTCAAATGGCCAAGCAGAAATATCCAACCGAGAGATCAAAAGCATTCTTGAGAAGGTAGTAGGTGCAACAAGAAAGGATTGGTCATTAAAACTGGATGATGCTCTTTGGGCCTACAGGACAGCATATAAAACTCCGATTGGGATGTCTCCCTATCGGTTGGTGTTTGGAAAAGCATGTCATTTGCCTGTAGAATTGGAACATGGAGCTTACTGGGCCATAAAAAAGCTCAACTTTGACTTTCAAGCTGCTGGTGCAAAAAGGCTCCTTCAACTGAATGAATTGGAGGAATTTCGCCTTAATGCCTATGAAAGTGCAAGGCTCTATAAGGAACGGACCAAGAAGTATCATGATCAGAAAATTATCCCTAAGGTCTTTGAAGCGGGGCAAAAGGTGTTACTTCATAATTCCAAATTGAGATTATTTCCGGGCAAACTCAAATCACGTTGGTCAGGGCCATTCACTGTGGTACAAGCTGCTAACCATGGTGCGGTGGAGCTGGAAAATGAAAAAGGTGAAAGATTTCATGCAAATGGCCATCGTTTGAAGCATTATTGGGGTGGAAAGGTGGATCGTCAAGTTTCTACGATCTACTTTGCTGAACAATCATAACAGAGCTGAAGAGTCAGGCTGAAGACTATAAACCAAGCGCTACTTGGGAGGCAACCCAAGCTCTAAACTTGCCTTTGATGTGTTTCTTTTATTTCGGTTTTGTTTTAGTGGATTTACGGTTGATCTTTGTTTTTGTAGGCCTTTTGGTTTATTCCTCAAACTTTGGAGCTTAGCAGGAGTGGTTGATTTCTAATTAGCGCAACCAGGGAAGTGCACCTAACCTTAATCTCCAGCAGTGGCATTGACCTTGATTGGTTTGAATTTGTGTTAAATTGAGGCTTGTGGGTTTTGCTTTTATGTGGTTGTTTGTGTTGTGTTTGTTTTTATGCTTGTGCTTGTGTTTAGTCTTGTTTTATTGTGTGTAGGGTGTTTGATTGTGGTAGGTCCAGTCTGTGTTTATTAATTTTTCATGTAGGCCTTCTCTGTGTGAGGCGCCGCGGCGCATTTGATCAGAAGCCGCGGCGCCTCATCTGTTTCAGAACCCCTTTCTGTAATAGGCGCCGCGGCCCCTATGTTAATCCGTCGCGGCGCCTTCGTCCTTGGTTTTAATCCCTCTCGGTAAAAACCGCCGCGGCGTTTGAACATAGATGCCGCGGCTCGATTACTTAAGCCAGGATCTGCAGTTCTGTAAAAGGCACCGCGGTGCCTTGGTGAATCCGCCACGGCGCCTTCTCGTATATCTGATCTTCTTCTTTATGTTCCCCGTTTTAACCTTACTCATTTGTCTCAATACCCACTTTGCCCTTGTGTATCTGACCGGTTTTGAGGGTAGATTCATTGTTTTAATTTAAAACCCTAACCCTTTGGTCTTTTCACTCTCCATCCAATTTCAAAATCTCCCCCTCCCGTCGAAATTTTTATTCTTTTAGCTTTCGAACCCAGTGTCTATTTCTCTCCCTCCCCATTGTCGCCGGCGTCGCCCTCAGTCTCCCGTCATCAATTGCCACGCCTCTCGTCTCCCACCGCCGGTCGTCTTCTCGTCTCCCACCACCAGTCATTCTCTCCCTCGGCACCCCCTTCTGTGTGTTTGTTTCGGCGCCTCCTCTCCCTTAGTCGACCGTGTAGTATATTCTTTCTTACTTTTATTTCTTTTAGTTTAGTTTAGTTTTGCTGGAGATGGGTATAGCTAGGGTTGTGCATTGTGGTTAGATGATTTTAGAACTCTAGATGGGGGCATTTTGATTCTCTGAGGTTACATTGTGGTTAGGTGATAATTCCTTATTGCCCAACTATCTGTGAACATGTACTGATGAAAATGTGATACTTGTGAAATTGAGTGATCATAGCTTGGACCTGATTTGAGAAAATGAGGTGCTTGTCTAAATTTTCAAATAACACCGGTTCATTACCCAAGTTATGTTGTTCTTTTTCACTTGTAACTGATTTGGAAATGTTATTCTGATTTAGTGAAATTAGTTTAAATTGGCAGCTACTGATGGTTGTCTGATTTTGAAATTAAAAGATAAAAGAGAACCTTTGTGAACTTGGTTTGAATTGGGGGTATTTTATAACTCAGGTTTAGAAAGGGATTAGGTAATGGTGAGATGGTGTTCTGGCTCCTTGATTTAAGTTTGGGGGTAGTTTTTCTTTATTTTTAGGTTAGTTTTCTTCTTTTTCTTTGTCGGTTGTTTTTGATTGTGGTGTGTTATTTGCTTAGTTTGTGTGTGGTGTGCTTTGCTTTCTCTTTGCAGGTAACAATCCAATGGCCCCCAGGAAGAAAGCCTGTGCTACCTCCCCTGATCCTCC